AGGAAGACAAACCTAGAGGAACCAGAGAAGACGAGAAATTAAAGGGACTGAATTAATCAAGACTGAAGTAATCAGAGAATAACAGAAATTAAAGGGACTGAAGAAACCAAGACTAAATTAATCAGAGAGATCAAAGAAATTAAAGGGACGAAAGAAATCGGAGAGATTGAAAATCGAGAAATTAAAAAAACCAAAGAATTTACAGAGTTTGAAGAATCCAAAAAATCGAAGATCCCAAAAAATTGAAGAATCCAAAAAGTTTGGAGAATCCGAAAAGTTTGAAGAAATCAAAGACCAGCAAAGAGTCGAGAGACCTACACAGTCTCCCGCGCCCGTCTCCGCGCCAGTCTCCGCGCCCCAGGCCCACCAGCCTCAGACACCTTCTCATACCACTACACAAAGTCACACCAACACCATCAACCATCCGCATAAGCAGCCACAAAACCCCCGCTCGCACGCCAGCATCAGCCGCCAGACTCCCGGCTGTGCCCAAGGCCCCTAACCGTCGGCTGCAGCCAGCGAATCGAGCCCCGCTCACACAGGCGCCACCACTGGCTGCAACACTGGCCCCACCCCTGGCCCCCGACAAGCGCGCCCCAGCCGAGCGCGCCCCAGCACACCGCCTGCCCCCAGGCCCCAGGCCCCGCGCCCTGCCCCCAGCCGGCTCGCGCGCCCTGCCTCCAGCCCCCGGCTCGCGCGCCCCGTGATGACCGCCGCGCACGACCCCGGCGCCCCAACACCAACACACGTCCGCGCACCACGGCTCCACCCCCTACGCTCCTCCGGCCGGGCGCCCCTCCTCCTCATGAACTCCGACGACTTGCCCTCCTACCCGACGCCGCAGCAGGCCACGTACGCCATGCCCGCCCAGGCCCAGCCGCCGCGCAGACCCGCCCCGCCCAAGCACTACGCGCCGGCGCCGCCGGCCTCGCACACATCCAGCGCGTTTCCGGGCGGCTCCGCCGCGGCGCCGCCGGCCCTGGACCCGGCGTACCAGCACACGGGGCCGTACCAGGCGCTGCCGGGCCCGCAGCAGTACCACCCCCACCCGCACGTGACGCCCGCCGCCTCGCCCCACCACCACGCGCACGTCCCGTACCAGAGCCCCGGCTACACGCAGCAGCCCCCGTCCCACCAGCACCGCCCGGCACCGCCGCCTCAGCAGTACTATGCGGCGGGCGCGCCGCGCGTGGTCTCGGCGCTGGCGGTGTCCCTCGGCCAGGCGCTGCTCCCGAACGCGCACTATCTGCCGCACCAGTATCAGCAACAACCACAGCTCCAACAACATCAACAACCACAGCTCCATCAACAACAATACCATCAGCAACAACAACACAATCAGCAACAGCAACCACACCATCAACGTCAACAGCCGCCGCAGGCCCTGGCGGCCCCTCGCGCCGCGTCGTACTCGGGCCCGCAGTACGTGCACCCGCCCGTTCCCACGCTGTCGCCGCCCGCAGTCCACCTGCCCTCGACGCCGCAGATGGCCGGCCGTGGCCATGCGCCCGCCAAGAAGGCGCCGCCCAGCACGGCCAGCCGCTCCCGCGAGAGCCTCGAGGACACGCCGAAGCACGCGGCCAAGCACCGGCTCGAGGCTGAGCTCCGGGCAACCTTCGACCGCGTGGACGCCAACCGCTCGGGCAAGATCTCGCAGCGGGAGCTCTCCGCGGCGTTGGTCAACTTCGACAACACGGGCTTCCGCCACTCGGCCGTGCGCCTCATGATCAAGCTCTTCTCCAGTCCCGCGTCGGGCCTGGCGTCGGGCTTGAACTTCGACCAGTTCGTGTCGCTCTGGAAGTACTTGACCGCCTACAAGAAGTTGTTCGTGGTGGCGGACGTCAACAAGTCCGGCGACATCTCCTTCGGCGAGTTCCAGAGGATCATCGAGCAGATCGGCTACAAGCTCAACGTGGACTTGGTGCTACATTTGTTCCAGAAATTCGCAGTCACCGACTCCCACGACGACGGGTCGGTTGCCGTCGGCAAACTCAAGTTCGACGCGTTCATCGAGTTGCTCGTCTACCTACGCAAGCTCACGGACATCTTCAAGCAGTACGACAAGCAGCTCACCGGCGTGGCCACGATCGACTACCTGGACTTTTTGCTCGAAATCAGCAACTTGACATAGAGCGCTGCGGCTGCCCCACACTAATTGGCCCCAATCGCTGCATGGCCCCCATCGAGGCAACTACACGGGAAGACCTGGGATATATAGTGGGTGTTTTTTTTCTCTCTTGCCACGATTCTCGAAATACACTTTTGGGCTGCGCATCCGGTATCGCGTATCGCAATCGCGCATGCAAGTCTCGTACTGACTCATTGCAATCGCGACATGTCCTACTGGTGCTTGATATCAAGGCGTTTTTCTTGTTGTCAATACATAAATGCTCCAACGGGTACAGCGCTTGTCGCTTTTGACACGCCGCGTCCACGCGCCACATCTGCCCCTCGGCTTCAGAAAACAGTCGACGCTCGCAGAAAAATATCCTGAGCTCTCAGAGGTGGACTTCTCCCCGTCCGGCGAGCCCAACTACCTCAAATTAATCCTCACTTCCAGAGTCTACGATGTTGTGGATAATGCTGGCTCCCCTTTGACACACGCTGTCAACCTCTCCCATAAGTGTAACGCAAAGGTGCACTTGAAGAGGGAGGATTTGTTGCCCGTCTTCTCCTTCAAATTGCGTGGTGCGTACAACATGATTTCAAAACTACACGCCAAGACACCGCTAAACGGAGTCATTGCGTGTTCTGCGGGGAACCATGCTCAAGGCGTGGCGTTCTCGGCTGCCAAGCTCAAAATCCCATCTACTATCGTCATGCCCACAGCAACCCCCTCCATCAAGTATTCCAATGTCAGCAGATTGGGGTCTCAGGTGGTTTTGTACGGCGAAGATTTCGACTCGGCAAAGCAAGAATGTGCCCGCTTGAGTAGCTTGGAGAATTTGACGGACATCCCACCCTTTGACCATCCTTACGTGATTGCTGGTCAGGGAACCGTCGCATTGGAATTGACAAGACAATTAGTGCTCGACGAACTAGACGCTGTCTTCATCCCAGTTGGCGGGGGTGGTTTGATTGCCGGTGTTGCAGCTTACCTCAAGCAAGTTGCGCCCCACGTGAAAATCATAGGTGTAGAAACTTTCGATGCCGATGCATTGTATCAGTCTTTAAGAGACACGGAAAGGGTGCGTCTTGAGCTGGTGGGTGTTTTCGCCGACGGCACCGCAGTGAAAATCGTTGGCGATGAGACTTGGAGACTCTGTCACAAGTACGTTGACGAGGTAGTCAGAGTTACCACCGATGAGACTTGCGCCGCCATCAAGGACATTTTCGAGGACACAAGGCTGATTGTCGAACCCTCTGGTGCTCTTGGTGTCGCCGGAATGAAAAAATACATCCAACAGACTAAGAAAGACATGGATCACCGCAACAAGACTTACATTCCTATCTTATCTGGAGCCAACATGAACTTCGACAGATTGAGATTTGTCAGCGAGAGGGCTGTTTTGGGCGAAGGTAAAGAGGTCTCATTTGTCGTATCTATCCCAGAGAAGCCAGGCGAGTTTTCTAAGCTCCAACAAATCATTCATCCGAGACTGATCACTGAGTTTTCGTACAGAAACTCTGGTAGTGACATCGCCAACATCTACGTCTCGTTCAATGTCCTCAATAAGGACAAAGAGGTGGCATCTATAATGCAAACCATGAATAATGATGAACACAACTACGAAGTTGTTGACATTTCAAACAATGAGCTCGCGAAAACACATGGCCGTTACTTGGTTGGGGGTAAATGCTCATCATCTGATATCACGAAGAGAGAGAAATTGTTTACTTTCGAGTTTCCTGAAAGACCTGGTGCCTTGACAAAATTCTTACAAGAACTAAAAGATAACTGGGACATCACTTTGTTCAATTACAGAAACCATGGCAACGATGTTGGTAAGGTATTGTGTGGGTTTGTTATTCCTGAGGGGGCAAGCGAGGCTGAGTTCTATGACTTTTTGAACAAATTGGGCTACAAATATATTGACGAAACTCAAAATGTTGTTTATCAGAAATTTTTGAAGTGATGCTGCCACAAAAAAAAACCCGGTTATTCTCACAGGCCAAATGACTCGCTAGATTAATCTAGCTTCACTTTAGGAATTTTCATATATACATAGGTATGCATACACTATTTTTTGAACTTATACCGTTAGTCAGCCCGGCGCAAAAACGCTTGGTATGCTTCGTTGTTGATGGTCACGCGACCAGTGGCCTTCATCTGCTTCTTACCCTCTTTTTGTCTTTCCAATAATTTCTTTCTTCTCGAAATATCTGCTGCATGTAATTTCTGAGTGACGTCCTTTCTTCTTGCCTTAATGGTCTCTCTGGCGATCACTTTATTGTTCACCTTCGCTTGGATAGCAACTTCGAAAAGTTGGGACTTCAAGTATTCTCGGAACCGGGTGACATATTCTCTACCTCTCGTCTGTATTTGTGATCTGTGCATAACCTGTGACAAAGCATCCTGGGCCTCGCCACTCACGCAAAGTTCCATTTTCACAACATCCGACTTCTTATATCCTGAATCCTCGTAGTCTAGAGATGCATATCCTTTAGTAGCTCCCTTGAGCTTTCCAAAGAAATCTTCAACTAACTGTGCCATAGGAATTTCATATTTGAGGAGGACTTGGCCTGTGGTTAGGTATTCCATCTCCTTCTGTATGCCTCTATTGGCTTCGCAAATAGACATCACTGTTCCCACGTACTCGTCGGGGATGGTCATAATCGCATCCACAAACGGCTCCAAAAACATGTCAATATCGTGAGACCGATAGTCAGAGCCCGGAAAGTCGTCAGGATTTGTCACGATTTTTTCTGTTCCATCCTTATATTTAATTTTATAAGGTACCGTTGGCGCAGTTAAGATGATCTTTGCCCCATATTCGTTTTCTAAGCGTTCTTTGAAGACTGAAGAGTGGAGAGATCCCAAGAACCCCAATCTCCAACCTAATCCTAGAGCTGAAGATGTCTCTTTTTCTAGGGTTACCGACCTGTCATTCAAGACCAAATGCTCCATGTGATCATTCATGACCTTGAATTCACCTCCATCGGCAGGAAAAGCTCCCACAAAAACCATAGGTTTGGGCTCCTCAAATCCCGGAAGCGGCTCGAGACCAGCACTGTTCCCACTTTGAAAAAATGTATCTCCAATCATGGCCTCCTTTGGATTTTTCATTCCTGGGATAATGTATCCAACTTGACCAGCTCTAATATAATTCATCGGCGTCTTATCTGGGTACATGACGCCAACTTCTTTCACATCATATTTCTTTTCAGTGTGGGCGGAAAGTAATTTCATTCCTTTTCTTATCTTTCCGTCCACAACAAATACAAGCATGACCACACCAACATAAGGGTCATGCCAAGAGTCCACGAGTAAGGCTTTCAAGGGTTTTTCAACATCGCCAACTGGTGAGGGAATATCCTGAATAATTTTTGGGATAATGTTTTCCACATTAAGACCTGTCTTGGCACTCACTGGAATACAATCATTTGGGTCTAGCTCAAACGTAGATTCGACTTGTTCCATTGCTCGAGGTATATCTGCAGCATCTAGATCAATTTTGTTTATAATAGGTATCAATTTAAGCCCCAAGCTATACGCCAAGTAGAAATTGGCCACGGTTTGTGCTTGGACACCTTGCGCTGCATCTACCAATAAGAGAGCCCCTCCACATGAAGCGTATGATCTGGAAACCTCTGCACGGAAGTCAACGTGACCGGGAGTATCGACAAGATGCAAAAGGTAATCCTCTCCTGTTTTTGGATCGTTGTAAAACATGGTACAGGTCTGTGCTTTAACTGTGATTCCCCGCTCTCGTTCAACGTCCAACTTATCTAGCACTTGTTTATTTGCATCGCCTGGTTTTATCACTCCCGTCAATTCAAGTAGCCTGTCCGATAGTGTGGATTTACCATGATCTACATGTGCCACGATGCTGAAATTCCGATAATTTTTTAGAGGGATCTTCTCGATTCTTTCTTCGATGGCCTTAATGTGAGACTCCTTATCTAAAGTCACTCTCTTGTCTTGCTGCGCAACTGTCTTGTTCGCCGCTGCTCGAAGCAGATGATATGTTGTGAATCTCCTGCTCTTCAGCAACCCTGTTAATACATGTCGAAGGCTTGGTGGTGCAAAATACATGTTAGGGCAAAACAGTACCATCACGACCGTTTGATGCGAGCAAAATTTTGTTCGCACTTTGTTTGCACCCAGTGTCGAGCACTCTAAGGAAATGGTTAAACAGCCTTATTACATTCAAGCAGCTACGCCATTGAACTTACATGCTATGTTTGTGGATGGTATGTCAGTGAAGAGCTGTTTTATGCTACTTGTCTTGAGAAACCACACCATTTCGCACGCTGAAACAAAAATCGCAAAATAAAATACGCTTTCGTGTCTTGTTTCGAATGTTTATATTTAGTTGTATGACTGACTAAGCGTTGTCATTTGCAAAATTCTCGATGTATTTTACCAACCTCTCAGTACTGTCCGCAGTCACTGCATTGTAGAGAGAGGCTCTAATACCTCCCACCGATCTGTGTCCTTTCAAGCCCGTCAACTTGTCCTCAGCTGCCCCCTTCAAGAACTTGGACTCCAAGTCCTCGTTTGGAAGGGTGAAGACAACATTCATCTTCGAGCGAGAGTTTTTCTCGACAGGCAACTTGTATAATTGAGGGTATTTCTCTAATACACCGTACAATGAGCTTGCCTTTTTCTCGTTGATAGTTTCAATGGCTTCAATGCCACCCATTTTCAACAACTTTTCAGTCACCAATTTCAAGATGTGACACGTAAAAATTGGGATGGTGTTGTACGCAGAGTTGTTGGCCACCACAGTGGGAAATTGGAAGGCGATCGGTGTCAAAGGGATACCTAATTCCCTCAATTCATCGTCTGAGCTTTGATCGAGCAAATTCTTCTTGATGATGTAAACAGTCAAACCAGCCAATCCGACGTTTTTCTGGGCGCCCGCCATGATAAGACCATACTTCGAAACATCAAGCTTTTTGGATAAGATATTTGATGACATGTCAGCCACTAGCTCGACATTTTCCGGCAAGTAGTCCGATCCCGGCACGTCATTAAATTCATTTCCATGAACGGTTTCGTTATCACATACATACAAGTAAGCGGTATTCTCCTTGTCAATTGGGGCCCATTCGCTGTATGGCGGGATGTGGTTGAATTTTGAGGTCTTTGTGTCAACAACAATGTCAACCTCAAATCCCAATCTTTTGGCTTCTTCAGCTGCCTTCTTAGACCAGCCACCAGTCACGGCATAAGCAGCTTTGCCTTTCTTACCTGTCTTCTTGGCGTAGTTGGCTAGCAAGTTGTAAGCCACAGAAGCAAATCCCAACGTGCCTCCGCCTTGCATAAAGAACACCTCATGAGTGTCTGGAATATTCAACAACTTTGTGAAGTTAGCCTTTGTTTCATCAATGATTTGAATCGCAGTCTTGGAGCGGTGGGAGATTTCGCCCACACCTAAATTCTCGCCATCGAAAGTTAACAAGTCTAAGGCAGCTTGCTTTAAGACGTCTGACGGCAACAATGCTGGGCCAGCACCAAAGTAATGGGGTTCTTCACGGTTTAAGGAACTCATTTGCAGTGTTAAAGAAAACGAAGTTAGAGAAAGAATTTCGTAGGGCGCGCAAAATACCATGTGACTAATATGACGAGTCAGAAGTAATAAAGTGAGACACGAGCTAGTTTGATGTTCATGTAAACTCTGGTATCTGAGCAAAAAAATGCACAACCCGTAGAGTCAAAAACATTCACTTGCATGTTGCTTAAACAAGGTTCTGAATTAAAAGTTTCACGAGTTCTCAAGGAGTTTACTAGTCGACATGAAGTCACATTAAACTTTGGCACTCAATCAGTCAGAATAGGGTTCAGCTTGGCGAATCCCGCTTATGTAATAAATAATTTCAGCATCGTCGGTTTCATCAAGTAGGCAATGAATTGCGCAAGCATTATTGTCGCAGATAAAGAGTATTACGGTTTGGCAGGTACCAACGATTTTGGCTGTCAGGCACCATTCCTTGAGGTTCACCGTCACGTCAACACCAATCGCAGACCTATCTTCATGATTCTTGCTGGGGCTTTCCTGTAGCGCAGCAGCTCGCAAACTATCGTATTCCGAGTCCGAAGGTGGTACTTGGATATCGAGCCTGCCATTCCATTTAATGGTAGTATTACAGCTATCTGCTTCTTGTAGCACAAATTTCAACGTTCCTCCATTCCTCTGGCTTGCGCTTATTGTCATTTTTTCGTGTGCCGTTGAATTCTTAAACCTTTCTAGCCGCCGATAGGTGGCAAAAAACTCATTAGGAAGTTTTATCATGAGATCAATTCTTGGAAGCACGGGTTCTTTCAATAGTCCCGCAGCTTCCTTGAGGATTCTCACAGGGATTCTGAAAACATGATTGATCGTACTTGAGTTTTCAGTGATATCTGAGTATTGTAGCGCCAAGTAAGCACTCCCAGAGCTTTTCTGACCCTCCTTCTTCTGAAGCCGAATCTTTAGTTCAGTACTGCTGGCCTTGTCAAAATTCCGCAATGCTTGAAGAAAAAGTTCAATATTAATCTCAAGCAGTATCCAGTTGTCTCGAAGACTCTGTATTTCGATCCTCAGAAAGATGTTTCTCATGGGAAATTTACACCATATTTGCGGCTCTTGATTTAACGATGAATCGTTAATCAGTATGGCGAGAAGTTGTTCAGGACTGAATCGCAATATCACGCGCTTCCGGAGTGTATTGATAAGTGAGAAGCAGTTTTTCAAAACTTCTGAGCTTTGTGTCTCTAATTTGAGCTTCATCGACTCGGAAGATGCGGTATTCTCGTTTTCTGTTCCACATGTGCCGGTGCGCGTAGCCAGTATTTCTGTAGACAGCCAAACGCTTAAAAACAGCTCATAGCAGTATAGCCTACGTCAGCAAAAAACTATGATCTCGTTTATCAATTACTCTTGATTTCAGTATTTGTTATTATTACAGACGGCTTGTTCTAAATATTTACGCTTGTATCACTCTGAAGTAACTAATTTATTGATATTCCAAGACACAAAGGTAAATCGATCCTGTCTTTGGCATTACTCTTCCTTTGATGTACAAGATATTGAACTCTTTACTTGCTTGATCATGTAGCAATCACTCCTTTGTAAATCTCACGCGCCATGTTTTCTTGATGGATGGTTGATTGTTCAAAATACAAGTACCCTCTTCATACCGCTATATCAGACTCTCAAGACAATGATGACAGAGTCACCCCTTAAAAAAAGTTTGGCTATGAACCTTTCTTTCGAAGTGGTTTTTATGATCTTGCCCTTACTGTTTCTTAGTGTCTCCGTCCAGAGTTCTTTCACATCTTCAAGAATCAAATTACAATGTCTGTCAAAAGCCTTCACCTTTGCAAGAAGTTTATGATTGTTTCGACAATATATCATGACAGGACTTCCATCATTCATGGCAGTTTGAATGAGCGACATGGGCCCATGTTTAAATTCGAACTCTTCGAGTTGTTGAAGCTCTATTTCTGTGAGTTCTGAGCGTACCCGATCTATTAGTTCACTTGGCTGGTTAATATTTATCCTCATGCAGTGAATTGTTCTTGGATTTACATACGCCATATTTTATAGTTATATATCTGGATTAAGCACAATCCTTGTTGGTAAATGTCTTCGTTGTCGAATGCCCATGCGCATTCAGTTGAGTATCTTGCGAAAGGCTTCGGTGGGACTGCATGGAGAACATGATACTATTTTATTTCAGATCATTTTACAGAATACAGCCTGGTTTTCAAGTTACATGAAGTATAAGCTGTTCAATTTTATGTTTGTGACAGATAAATAAAATTTGAATAGAAGATATGGAAACACGCGATGGTTTTAAACATTCCCCCTTTTCCTGCTAACAACTGGTAAGGCAGTGTCAACACTTTACTCCGTCATCTTCAAAGCACAACACCATATTCGTCAATCTGCTACCGAGTGGCTAATTTTGTTATTTTATTCCCATGAGAAAGCATTTATCTCTGCTATTATATTTAACATCTGTGCTACACAGTCTTTGGCTGATGTGCGAGTGGCGCTGCTAGCTTGCATCCTCTTTTTATGATGCTTTCAACGCGATCTTTTAATACACGAGATGGACACACAACACCCAAAGTTTTAAAGTCCACTTGAGCCTCAGCCTTTCCTATTTTTATCGTTGCACCATCCGAATCTATTTGGGAGATGGAATCGCCAAATTGAGCTTTTAATAATGTTGAGATTCTGCGGATCCTAGTCTCAACGTCATGATTTCCATGCGCCTTTTTAACTTCTTGCTCCTGAACTGTTTCTTCACTAGGTTCTTCTTTCACATGCCCGTGTGAGTGTGCTTTAGACGTTAATTTGACAGAAGCCGGTGATGAGTCCACGTTATAAAGAATTGCCACCACGCTGTCGGCCAAAGAATCCGCCATTGCATTGTTGTTGATCCACTCGACCGTAATTTCAAGACCCTTAGATTCTTTGGACTTGTCGGCTGTGATATATATCATGTCCATTATCAAACATTCCCAAATGTCTTCGGAATCGTTAATGACATTTATATAGCCAAACATTTGCTCAAGATGCCAAGAAATTAATGATACGCTCGACTCGATTTTCAATTTGATGTTGGACTTTACGACAGAAGTTGTAAGCTGTGTGAATTCATGGATATCATCCAATTGTAACAAGTTCAAGTCGAAGTCTTTCGATATTAAAACTCCTGAAACAATTATACCAGAATTAATGAGCTTGTCCTCCACCTTCTCGTCGGTCTTCTTTCCGTTCGTGGCTTTTGTTGACACTTCTGCTTGGAGCTGATCAGCAGGATTTTCGTTCATTTTGACATCATTTCTTTCGTCTTTGATCTCTTCTTCATCGTGTATCTCTTCAATTTTACTTTTCTTCAACTCTTTGCTCATGAAGTCTTTTATAAGCCTGGATTCAGCCTCGGCAAGTGATCCAACAACTTTGGCGATTTTTGCGCTTGTGATTCCAATCTGGAGATCTTCACAGTTTCTTGGATTGAAAACTCTGACTTCTTCCTCTGTACCTTTGCGAGATGAGTATCTGCTTAGTAAAGCAGACTTCAATCTACCCATTGGATTGCTATCTCCGTGGACCAAAATGATTTTTTTGGGGGCAACCTCCTCGATAAAACCTGCATTTTGTTGGAAATCGACATGAGCAGCAAATGAAATTTCATCGACGGAAAGCCGGCGAGGAATCGAGATATCAGGATTTGAAATAGATGGAATCGCATGCGGCTCGGTTAAAATTTCCTTTGCCATAGTTCCTTCCACAGCGTAACCGGTCATGATAACTGCATTCTTGGGATCTGGTGCCCATCTTTCAAGAAGCTGTCGAGATACTCCGCTCTGTAACATACCTGGCGATGCAACAACGACACAGGGACCCATGTCATAAACCTTGTCGATACTCCTGATGGACTTGATGAATTTGAACTGGAAAGGATTTGACTTTGCTGATGCAGAAGCACTGAGTCTGATCTTTTCGTTCATAATGCTGGTGTATGTTTGATAGACAGCCATACATTTTCTTGCAAGATCAGATGCATAATATATATTTACAGATTGAATGTCCTCATTCATTGACCAGTATTCTTCTAGGATCAACAAAAGCTCTTGGGCTCTTCCCAAGGCGAAGACAGGCATCAACACACGGCCGCCCTTTAAAATAGTAGAGTGAATATTTTTCATCATTCTGGTCTCCTTTTCTAGTCTTGGCTCGTGTGTGGCTGTTCCAAAAGTGGATTCTGTGATAAGGATATCTGGTCTTTGAGGAGGTACCTCTGCTACTTTCAAGTGGCGATCCTCTTCTCTAGAATAGTCTCCGGTGAACAAAATTTTGACACCTCCTATTTCGAGAAAGTACATGCATGCACCCAAGACATGACCAGCATGGTACGCGGTAAACCTTATTCCCTCGACTTCGATGGTTGAATGATAATCAATGGTCTCGATCTTTTCGAAAGAGCTCATCAAGTCTTCGTTTGTGTACAAGTTTGCGGATCCTCCTCCATTATGCTGTGAGCTGTCCATTTGACGGGCCTCATCACCTCCTCCAGCCATAGATGTCACTCGCACGAAATCGGACAACAACCATCTGTAAATTGCCTTCGTGGCATGTGTCATGAAGACACGCCCTTTGAAACTCGTTTGTTGCATGACATATGGTAAAGAAGCAGCGTGATCCAAATGAAAGTGACTAATCAATAATATGTCGACCTTTGATAAGTCATACTCATCGAAAAAAGGTAAAGAATTCATACCGCTAAGCCCAGGATGAACACCCGAGTCCAACATGATCACCTTATTCTTATACTCGATGATATGGCAAGAGCGACCGACCTCATTGCATCCTCCTAGACCGAAAAAACGGAAGTTGTCGGAATCTTCAGCGGTTGAATTGTCTGTTGCCATTGCGCTTCGAATAATGGATAAGAACTTGAAGGACCGAAAACAAATTTGAGATGTGAGCGCGCAAGCCTAATACGGGTGGGTTTTCAATGCGAACACTCCCGAAAAAACGTTCTTCTACTAGTCATTAATGAAATGGATCTTCGATGTAGAAATCTAAGTCTTCAATCTAATTGCTCAACTATATGTGTAGTTTTAAACTGTGCTACAAAATCAAAATAAAGCAATATTCTTAGTTCCCAATTAATATAAATCACCTCAGGAAAATGTAAATATCTACTTTTGGAGAGAGCCACCGTAGCATGTCTCATTCTGTTTCTTTCTCAAGTCAAACACGTTAAGAACCTCCTCGGCTGCCTTAACCCCGGAAAGAGCCATTGCACCGAAAGTTGGACCCATTCTGTTGCTTCCATCAACCTCTGCAAGCTCCATTCCAGCAATCACTAAGCCTGGGGCAACCTCTCTGGTTCCTTTCACGATAGCATCTTCGGCTTTGTTCATATCAAGACCTCTCATGCCACCCAAAACAAAAGAGTCACCCTTAATTTTGGGACACAAGCTTTGTAATCTCTTGGCGGAAAAGGCCCCAAATGGTCCATCGTGTCCTGTAGTTGAAAGAACCACGTTGGCATTAATCGTGTTGGGATCCATACACGACTGTGTATCATGATTCAAGGCCACCAAAGTCCAATTTGTAACAACTCCAGCAATACGCAACTCATCTGTGGTTTCATCGCGGCGTGTGATCAAGTCCTCCACTGCTGTGGCATTGAACAACTTCACGTTAGGAAACTTCAAGACTTTAGACATTAACGTGGACATGAACAACGCCGCATGCTTCACGACGACATAATCACCTTCATCCTCGTAAGCTACCTCGATTTCATCCAAGAAATGTTGAGCGGGCTTTCTCAAAACCATTGCTGAGAACAATTGACCGCCCAACCAACAGCCTCCACCTGGTGAGACAGAGGCCTCAATTATTGCAATCTTAAGGTCAGGTCTGTTTTTCGCCAAAACATAAGCAGCCGATAACCCGGCGCTTCCCGCTCCTACGATTACAACATCAGACTCAGTGTACTTGTCCAAGTCTTCGAAATACCTCTTGGTCATCGCTCGAGAGACAGTTGACTCTCTGATTGGTGCAAATTTAAAAGAATCCCAGTCTGCAAAATTGACTTCGGTGTTTTGAACGTCTGACTGAAGGCGAAGAATCAGCTCATCTGAGGCAGTAGTCGTAGTGTGCGTGTTATAGATCATAGTTGGGGGAGTCATTCTTGTTTCGTATGAGAAGAAGTGTTTAGGTGTGATCCATACCACTTTATATATACCCCTAGATTTGCCACTGAGGCACACGATTTTAATTCCCGGAAGAAATGTTCTCTCTGTGACCAAAAAGCCGCATTTCCATGCCTCTTAACTGCATTTCCATGCATTTCCCGGCTGCAACTGATCCACCCAAAAGTCCGCGCGTCCTCACAATTCAAGACACGTCCAGATCGCACCATTGATTTTTTTTTTTGGCGACTTTATGCTTCAGTGCCAAGTTGAAGCTTTATTATATTGTAGAATGAATTCCACGGTCGATTTGCAACTATTTTTGGTTCAAATTTGCAGTTTTATATTCTGCTTCAGACGTCACCATCATTCGGTTCGCAGAGTAACTGCAGATAAACCATCTTGAAGTCCCGGGAGGAGTGTCCCGTGCAGATACAAACATTGAGAACAATAAGCAATGTGGAATAAAACCCGCATTCCATAGACTCGTACGCGCATATCTAGTCGATGGCGAAATTGCTTATGGGCTTCAGTCAATCTGCTTGCTTTTCTCATTGAAGCTCTTGAAATATCTCTTTCTGAAGCTTGTCACATTTTTTTCGAGCATGCCATTCCTGGTCACACCCTGGTAGCTCTGATCTCTTTTCACATATACAACCAATCTTCTGGACCATTTGTTAAACTCCTGTTCCAACGCATACAAATGTTCCAATTTCTCGTGTTGTGGTATGTGGTGCTCAACAAATTCGTCATTGGCTGTGGGCATCCAAAAAGCTAGCCTGCCTCCCACTGGAAGCCTTTCAGCCGCAAAATTGAGTAGATCCTCAAGCAAATTTGCAAGTTCATACGGCTTCTTGGGCGCTATGAAATCTCTCCTGAAATGTCCTAATTCACCTCCAACGACATTCTTTTCTCTTCCGACAGCTTTGTCTGGGTTCTTCGCCCCACATACTTTGAGGCCCTCTCTGACTCCATAAGGCGGATCACAAACAATAGAATCTATCACAAGATCAGACCTAAATGCATTATTTGTGAAGTCCATCACAAATGTGTCCATGAATTGAGACGTCGTATGGTACTGCTTGAAATTACTTTTCAAATTGCATTGTGGTCCTTTCCCTCTAATGGAGCGTGGATCGATATCTGTTCCCATTGGATATGCTCCAAAGTATGCTCCTGCGACAAGAAAAGAGCCTGTACCCGTGAATGGGTCGTAGATTATCTTGCCAGGACTGACTTGACCGATATTGCAACTGATGAGAGAGAGCTCAGCCTCGAAGGAAGTCGTCCCAATGTACTTTCTCTTTTTTAAATCATACTCCTCAACAGCACCTGCAGCTCTAGCACTAAGTTGGACCTCTCTCCCGAACCAAAGGTACTTGGGTTTGTCTGCCTTTTCCATACCACTCACAAAATACTCTTCTAGCACGGCAAAAACAGTTTCTGGGTTTTTTAGTCTGATCTTGCCTTCAAACCCTAAGTACTTAAACGTTTCGATAGTTTTGATCTTTTCTTCGGTACTTTTAGTTCCCATGAAACTGACGAAGTCAAACCTAAAAGTGTTTGTTTTGTAACTTTCGAACTTTTCGGTTGACATCTCTTGCACACTTTTATGCAAGGCGTTCAAGTCCTCGCCTTTTCCCCAAAGCTCGTATATCCCTTTCGCCAAAATAGACCGTTTGATAAGGTTTTGGGCATCCTCATCGCTCTTAAGGTTCACGATCATAAAAGGGCTTTTCTCATTGTGATTACTGAGGTCCACTTCCACTCCAAACATTTCGGAGAGTGACTCTAACTCCGGAATCCTAAAACTAGGAAAGGAATTTGCAAAACTTATGATATATTGTTTCATTGTGGTTAGAAGTTGGCGTTTGTCGATGAGGCGAGAAGAGCGCACTAAACAGTATAGATGAAAAATGAAATGTGCAGCGCGTCCGTGATCACTGGGTGCAAATTCAGAATTTGGCGTATAAAATTTCTAACGTTTGAGTATGAGCTTTCTGAGATCTTATGCCAGTTTTGAAATTAGGTTCAATTTAACTCATGATGAAATATTGGTATTTTTTGGCAGTTCTCTATTTTTAAAGTATCACACAACGTTCAGCTTAATTACGCAGCTGAGTAAATAAATTTATTTATTTGGTAAGAAAGTACAGACTACAAAACTTTTATTTATATTTGGACAAATATACAAATGACTTTGTATCGGAGCTCTGCTTCAATGAACCGAACTTGGAAACATCACGTGTTTGTCCGACTAGAGAATGTGTTCGAGTACTCAGCGTAAGATCCTTAGAAAAACCATGCCGGATCGATGTGAGTACCGACGATGGTGAGGCTGCGAGTGCTGCGGGCACGTCTGACTCGGTCTCGGGTAGCTGGCCCACCAGGGCAGGTAACGAGGTGGACGTAGGACAATCATTTCTAGTTATGCGAGAGTGTGGACGCAATCGGCGCTGGCGTGCCTCATGGAGGTGGAGCTTGATGACGGCGGACTGTGGCGCGCTAGAATGGGGACCGTGAGGCCGGACTAGCGCTCAGATTTTTTTTGTTGATCTGCCGTTTCCTGGCGACGCGCCTGGCGACAGATACGGCAGTTACGGGCCATATGCCCAGCTTTCTGACAGTGGTAACAGATGAGCTGCGAAGTCGCGTGAGCATTGATGGCGTTGATCGCCTCGAAGGGCATCGATTGGTGGTCGTTGGGGATGGGTAATGTGCTGGCGGGACTGCAGGGCGAGCCTAGAGGTGATCGGTTTCCATCGCATCAGCGGCCGATTGGGATGTCGCACCGACCTCACCCTATAGCGAGGGAGTGGATGTTGGAAATGCGTTGGAGGTAGTCGTACAACGTGTCGAAGTGGGTAGTGTTCAAACGAATAAGGTCCGAACGGTAAGGCTCGTTGACACCTCGAATGAGGATAACCCGGAGGGTATCAGTCGTCATGGCGCCAGGTGGGAGCTCGCGCTGCAAACGTGCAAACTCGGCAAGGAAGACGGAAAGAGTTCGCTTGCCCTGTTTTAGTTCGAGAAGGGCATCGTGTGCGGCATCCAGGTAGTCCATGGGGTAAAAGGCTTTCTTGAAGAGATCGAGGACAGCTTCTCCTTTAAAGGTGTTGAACTTAGGGGCGTCACGCAACTGGTCGAATCAAATGGCCACGGACCCGATAAGGTTTATGGAGATGAGGCGCCGCCTGCAGACGTATGATCAGCGGTGCTACCAAGTGTTATGGTTAGTGTAGGGATCTTGGGAAGTGGTTAGATAGCTACGAGTTCGCGACAATAACTTGATATAATATTGAACTAGACCAAATAACTGCTGCCCCCCTATTCTTAGAGTTGGCTTTGTCCCCCGTTTTATATCTTGTGTGCTTGTGGGGGACTGCGTATCAAATTGCAGCCACTATTACGCACGTGCTAAAGGGAACCGAGGGGCTTCGGTCGTTTTCTGCATCTATGATGGGCCCTGGTTGGCGGCGTTTATCCATAACAGCCTCAATATTAAGATACTTTCCGTATCTTATTTTTAGCTAGGTCTTTCAAAGATTATTGACTCTTACCTGTGGGAGAGACCACGGGATAATAGAGCTGTCTAGGCGAGATAGGTCGCCTGCCACGGGATAGGCCGTTGGCTCGGAATAAGACAGATAAGCTTATCCTAGTAATTTTGAAACCGGAAGCATACTGTTATAACGGAGAGTAACATTTACTAAGGTGATCTACTCTTATGTAATAAGGCTTTCCCTTCTAATTAGCAGGGTGTTCAATCACCTTCATATTCACTTCTATCCGTCCGGTATGTCGTATATGCCGAGCGTCACGTGACTATTAGACCAAACTCCAAAGATGTGTATATTGTTGGAATAGCACAAAAACATTCAACAAGGTCCCTTGGCCCAGTTGGTTAAGGCGTGGTGCTAATAACGCCAAGATCAGCAGTTCGATCCTGCTAGGTATTATGAAACAGCCTGGAGCTGTCTCTTAAACTACGAGTAGATCGGTTTATAGATAGTTCAGCCTTAGTGGATAGGCCTAGTCTATCTGTCGTATTCTCGATGTCTAAAAAGTGTTATCCTTCTTCAGGGATGTCTCAGCCTCACGCTCCTTTATAGTTCGGAACCCTTCTATACAGTAGGTGAGGGGTAACCCCGATCAGGAATGTTTAGACTCTTCGTCCTTCGTATTATACAGGATGCCCAGAATCTATAATCTGGCTCATGTCGTATCATAACATTATCTCCCCAAAATTAGAATGTTCGTCCTCGAACATTTAGTTATCATGGATAGAGGAAAGCCTCGAAGTACCTTC